CAGAAGAATTTAAAGACTTCAGTTACAATATTACACCGAATGGATCTCATAATCCCCGCGTCAACAGCAGTTCAACTCAACGAAAAACTTTCATGATAAAGATCAGAAAGTCTACTTAAATAAAACGATCTCATGAGACAGAGTCCAGCTCATGGGAACAAGTATTTAGATGCCATCAATGTGCACATCAATACATATTTAAATACTGGCACATTCCAACAAGAAAATATATCATGATTTAGAATAACGCTAACCGAAAAGATCTCACGATTCAGTGACTAAAAACGTTCATCTTAATGTAAGGTTATCAAGATAGAGATGACCATACGGTCTATTACATAAAAAAAAATCATTAAACATACCCACAAGTTTCAAATCAACACAAGGAAATTGTTATGTCATCATCACTATAGAAATGATCTGAGAATTTATTTGTCAACATTTGTCAGTTTCAACGAAAAGATCTCATGATTCAGATGCCCACAAAATCCGTTTCAGCAAAAAGATTTCAATGTTTGGATGCAAAGTATATTCGGCTAAGCGACAAGATCTCGGGATTTAGTAAAGTGAGTCATAAATAATTTCCTTTCTGGTTTATTCATTTTATTCTTCAAAAGATAATGTACAATTATATTTTATTCAAATCAATATTCACTATTATTTGCAATGACGTGTTACCACTTATCAGGCAGCTCTTCGATAACTTTTAGATATTTTCAATCAGAGCAGTCTTGGAGGATGTGTGGAATTCTCCTTTTACTCTTCTGTTACGTTTTATTCAAATCAATATTCACCATTATTTGCAACGACTTGTTACTGCTTATCAAGTAGTTTTAAATGTGAAAACGTTTACAACTCTCAAATCTGGATTTCATGTGACATTTGCTCATCAAAGCGTTTTGCGACAAGGGAAAAGACAATAAACACAATGACAAATATTAACTAAAAGATATAAATTGCTTATAAAAAATGGGGTAATGCAAGGTCATGTGAATATGGAGGGTCGAAGGTAGAACAGACCAGCCGTGTTCCAATATTTTACCTACTCTTCTTGATGGATGCGACCTTCCGTTGCTGTGGCTTCAATCCTCTGTGTACGCTGCCACAGTTGTGCAAAAACCTAAACTATGTTGGATTCTTCAAATGTAGGTCCAGTGAGTACCACCACCGAAACACCCTGATTGGAAGACCCGGGCAGTGTTTTGTGAGTCTCGCTATCTTATCAACAATTGCTATTTTTAAAAACGAAGAACAGCTATTAAAGGCTGAACATTTTCGCAGATTTTGATGTCATTGTTTTGTTTTTGTTTTGTTTTTTTCATCCAAACCCGTGAATTTCTTTTGCTAGATAAAAAAATCAATATTTTTTTATTCATAATATTGAATGTATTAAAACTATTAAGCTTTTTAACAAGAAAAAAATCTCAAGATGATGTTAAAAATCGACATAAAACATTTTTGATTTATTTAAGATGGAATAATCTATTATGACATGTCTCTAATTATTATTTCGATACATTGTATTTATTTTCAGTTTTTCCAGTTGAATTGTTCCTCTGTATTGCATATGATCCATTGTATATAATTAGGTTACAATAAAATTTGTATCTGTCTATATTTCTGCGATGAGGCATTATGTACACTATTTACATTATTCGGACTATTGTCCTCATCTTTGTCGCTATGTTTATCACAACGTTTCGGCCGTTGTATGCTCGGCCTACTTCAGGTGATTGGAATGTCGAACTGAACCCTTTATTTCGCTCACTGGGGTAGACTGTTCTAGTTCCACATGCCATGTCTAATGGATGTCAGTTATCAGTTATCTCCTGTTAATTCCCCTCTCCAAGTTCTCCACTACCTTAACCGAGGATTGAACTCACTCTCTGGGTCCTGTCACTGGATCTAACCAACGCCTTTATCCGCTGTGCTATGTGTCCTCAAGGACATATGTCACAGTCGAACTAGAACAGTCTACCCCAGTGAGCGAAATAAAAGGTTCAGTTCGACATTCCAACCACCTGACGAAGGCCGGAGCGTACAACGGCCGAAGCCTTGTAATAAATAAGGCAACAAAGATGAGGACAATAGTCCGAATAATCTAAATAGTGTAAATAAAATTTGTATTTTACATGAATGATACCTGATAGAAAATAATAGTCGGGGGCCCATATAATAGGTTCGAGTGTGCACAAGAGCCTTGCACAGGCCCTGCAGGCACTCATTGTTAATAGTCAGGTTGACAGATTCGTAATAACATTTGGCTCTTAAAAACGGAATTTATTTATGACCCAACCTAATAGCAGACAGAAATCTCATCTATCACGTCGAATTTATCTAAACATTAAGATGTCATGCCATTTTAGTCCATCTTAAAGTTAAGGAGCCTACAAGTTCAATCTAAACGAAATGAGTCAAGTATTTAGATAAGATTTCAATGAAAAGACCTCAGGTCAACATTACCCGTCCTAGCAAAAAAGAAAACATCCAGATTCATATTGCAATAACCACTATCTCATGAAATGATCTCATTATTCAGACGTCAACACGGTACATTACAACGATTTTATTTCAATAGACATTTGCAGACATGGTTCAACTCAACGGAAATATATTCTAGGCTCAGAGGTCATCAGCATCCATCACAAAGAAAACATCTCAAGATTCAGAGACAAAAAATATCGATTTCATAAAAAATTATCAGAATTCAAAATGCCAACGAATCTTCTCAGCTTTCAAAGGCCAAAATGATAGAAATCTTCCAAAATAGATCTGCGAAAACGTGTTTCACTGATAATCAGTCATTTAAGGAATATACAGATTTCATTTCAATCATGATGGTTCAGATACGGGAACCTAAAATAGCAGGAATTGTCGAGTTTATAATAAAATTACTTCCTTGAATATTTAAGCTCAAGTTAAATACTTCAAATATCAAAGTCGACTGCAGTTTGCTTTGCAATAGGAAATTTATCCACAAGCAAAAATGACTTTCAACTTTGGTTAAAATCGTTCTTAAAGAAGTTAAAGTTTTCGAGTAACAATGAAATAGCACCTGTTACTCGCAAAATCGAAAATTTTATTATTGGAACTAATGCCCAATATATACGCCGTATTATTGGGGCTAAAATCTAAATCTAATACATATGCCGTATTATTGGGGCTAAAATACATACACCGTATTATATGAGCTAAAATCTAAATCTAATACATACGCCGTATTATTGGGGCTAAAATACATACACCGTATTATATGAGCTAAAATCTAAATCTAATACATACGCCGTATTATTGGGGCTAAAATTTAAATCATATTATTGGGTCTTAAATTTAACTGCAATACATACGCTGTATTATTGGAGTTAAAATCTCTTTAAGTCCAATACATACGCCGTATTATTGGGGCTAAAATCTCTTCATCGATTATCTTCCTGATGACATCAGGTCTCAAAGAGGGATCTATGTAGATGACACTACCATTTACTCTTGTCTCAATAGTAAATCCGACAATGATGACATAGTTAACTTGGCCGTTGTTCTTGAAAAGGATCTCCAATCAATGTTTGATTGGCGCATGGAACTGGCTTGTAAATTTTAATGGCTCCAAATCAAAACTGCTCTCATTTATGCACTATAGAAAAACATCTCTGCCTTCTGTCAGCATGGTTGATGCTCGACTTCACGAGAGCACCTCAATGCGCTTTCTTGGCCTCGCGTTTTCCACTGACCTTCGGTGGAACAACAACATTGAATCAATAGCTGCATCCACAGCAAGGAAAGTTGGTTCTTCGTGTCGTATCAGAAGGTTTTTTTTTTAATCTGAGTCCATCTTACACATTTACAAATCTACCATTCGTCAATACATTGAATAGTGTTACCATATATGGTCTGGTTTCGGCCGTTCATCTCGAGGTTCTTGACAAAATCCAAAGTCAGATCTGCAATGTGATAGGTCCTTACTTGGCATCTCGACTCCAGTCACTTAGATTTAGCTTCCTTCTGTCTCTTCAACAAATATTTTCATGGCAACTGCTCTATTGAGCTATTTTTTCTGATGCCCCGATTACATAAATTTAAGTGTGCTACTAGATTGGCATTTAGGTCCCAATCTTTTACTGTCGAAACTGTCAAATGTAGCCGCCTCTTCTATTCCAACAGCGCCTTCTCTCGCACTTCCCGATCAAAAAATTAAATGTAACGTTAATCATCATCTTCTGATTCCTGTTCTTTTTATCCTTTCCTCAATATCCCCTCCTTATACCCGGTCTTTTCTCTCACCTTCATTCTCTGTAACTCCTTGCGTACTAGTAGCATACCCGTCTTGCTTGGAATGAAATGCTTAAAAAGCATTTATATGAAAGTTCTCCACAAGCAACAGTGAACTTTAACTTTGGTTAAAATCGTTCTTACAGAAGTTAAAGTTTTCGAGTAACAATGAAATAGCACCTGTCACTCGCAAAATCGAACATTTTATTATTGGAACTAAAGTCCAATACATACGCCGTATTATTGGGGCTAAAATCTAAGTCCAGTACATATGCCGTATTAAGTATCATGTAAAATCTTTGATGACAACAAAGCATAAATACTTGTCTAATAATATTCGTTGCCAAAGATGAGGTAAAAGAAATGAATTAGCAACTAATTGATCTCAGAATATTAAGCGTGTCATGTTTATAAAGTTCCTTGCAAAAGTTGATTGCCAAGTAAAGAATGCAAGGTATTCATAAATTCAAAGATGTTATTCTCTTTTAAGTAGAAGTGAGTAGAGTGCAATGCAAGGTGAGAAGTTGAAAGATTGTATTGCGCCAAACCTTTAAATGGGGTGGGATTGCTAACATTGGAATTTAGTATTCGAAATCTTATGTCTTTTCTGCATTCGCTATAATAATAACAGTTTGCAAAATAAACCATTTTTTAGGCTGATTCATAAGTAATTTCCATTCTGGGCCAACCAATTGTAATGACAAACGTATCATCCTATCAACCACATGTGGCAGTTAAGAGTGTATGCAGATAGATAGATAGATAGATAGATAGATAGATAGATAGATAGATAGATAGATTTCGAATGGAGAATATGCCGCTTATTATAATCACATACAATTTAATCAAACGGTTATTGTTATCAAAATCAGCTAATCCAATGACTGTTATTTAAAACATATAACAAATGATCCGCTTATTATAATCAGAGCTCTTGTTATTATTATCATAATCTTCAGATATGAACACTTTACTAAATGCAAAATGTCCTTCTTCTTCTGTGCCGCCTCCCTTTACGACGTTGACGATCATGGCTCTCCACAATTTCCTGTCCTTTGTAGCTATTCTTAGCTTTTGTTGTCTTTCCTAAACCCTGTTCTGTCATCCATTTACACAAGCTTGCTAGGTAGGTTATTCGGTGCTTTCCTCTGTCCCTCTTGCCCTCAATCTGTCTTATGAGTATCAAATTTTCCGGGTCTACTTTCCTTATTTGAGCACCAGAATTTTCAACTGATGTTAAGTATAAGTGAGTTTTGTTTTTTGTTTTTTGTTTTGATTTTCTCTAAAATATTTATTAATACTTCACTGATGTTATGATGACTTCATGTTTTTGACAAAAAGCTTTGTCAGTGCTCACATGTTCAGACCATGTTATTCTCAGTATCCTTCTGTAGAACCACATTTCTGTTGCTTCAGGTCTCTTCTTCTTCTATGGGAAGATTGTCCAACATTCGTTGCCATATAAGAGGATTGATATTACGTAGCAGTACTGTACTGTTTTTCTTTGTTTTTAATGAAATTTTCTTGTTTCTTAATACTTTCCTTGGCTTTTGTAAATCATCTTTCGCTATCCCAATGCGCCTTCGGATTTCAATGCTACACTTTCCCTCCTCTTAAATTGTTGTACATGTTTTTTAATGTGCATGTTGAGCTCTTCAATTTTACTAACAAGCTTAGATCCTATCTTATTGCAATTGATGCTTAGTGCTTTCTTCTTGCTTTCCTTAATAAGCTTCAGAAGGCCGAAATGTTGTGGTGATGATAGCAACAAAGATGAGTGCATTAGTCCAAATTTAAATAATGTAATTAATGATAACTCTCTCAAAAGGACCCCCAACCAGTGGTTAACTGGGGCAAGAAATGGCTTGCAAATTGTAACGCCTCTAAAACAAAACTGCTTTCATTTAACCACTATAGAGAACCATTTCTTTTCTGCCGTCTGCATTGCTGACGCTAGATTCTAGGAGAGCAACTCATTACTTGGCCTCCATTGACTTGAAGTGGTACAACTATATCTACCTCAAGGAAAGTTGATTCACTGTGTCGAGCCAGATAATGTTTCTCGTCAGAATCCATCTTGCATATTTATATATCTAGCATTCTCCCGTGCATTGAACGCTGTTGCCGTATCTGGCCAGGTGCTCCTGCTGTACATCTCGAGATTCTTGAAAAAAATCTAAAGAAGCATCTGAAATGTAATCGATTCTGATCTGGCTTCTCGACTTTCTCACTGACTTGATATGGCTCCTCTCTGTCTTGTCTACAAATATTTTCATGGTAACTTCTCTGACGAGCTTTTTTCCATGGTACCCCAGCTATATTAAGGCGGGCTACTAGATTGGCATTTAGGTCCCACCCGCTGAAATAGTTAAATGCAACCGCTACTTCTACTCCAACAGTTTCTTTTCTCACACTTCCCGACTGTGGAACTCTCTTCCGTTTAATTGCTTCCCTCATAACTACATGCTTTAAAAATTTAAAAGAAATTTCTATCGCCATCTTCTTTCTTCTTCAATCCCGTTTATCTATTGTACTTTCCTCAATCCTCCCTATTCTCAATCTTCGTATTCATTGTCACTCCCTGTAACCCCCTGCGTACTAGTGGCATTACCGTCCATCTTTTGTCTTTTCCTCAGTCCTCCCGAAACTCAGTCTTCTCTATCACTTTCACTCCTCGTAACCCCTTGCTTACTAGTGGCATTCCCGCCTTACTTGGGATGAAATGATTTTTAAAAAATCATTGAAATTCAGACGGATGATAATTTTTAATAAATTCTCATAAGTCAATTGGTGTATAAATTTATTTATTTATTAAAACCAGCAAATATCCGTGAACATTTCATGGTTTTCGTATTTTAATATTTTATGAATCATAATTTTTAATAATTGAATAAACACTTTGTGAATTCTACAACTATAAAATACTCGTGAGATTTCCCCATTGAATATTCAAATATTTGCGCTTAATAACTTTAACAAAGTATTGCAGTAACAATTATAAGTATGAAATTACTTAAAGGCGAATGAGGGTACAAATGAAAAGACTTGAAATTGACTATGCTTTCGATTTAACTCAAGTAGACGTGGAACACATAAAAGTGTTATCACCTCATCAATCTTCCCTTTCTTTCTTCTCACTGAAAGCAAACGTCTTTTCTGTCTGTCCGCGCAATCAAAACGGAATAGTCCATTATTTATGCGGTGTCGTCAGGGTGTAAAGTGCGTGCAAACTAAGAACAAAGCAACAGAACTATAATACGATCAGTATAAATAAATTTATTACAATACATGTATTGGTAAAAGCATTGCTTAATGTTATCATACGGTTATTGTCATCTAAAGAAATGATCCCAATTAAATGCTGTATTTGCTACAAGTGTTGATTGCAAGCCTTTTAGACCGAAAACAATAACCAGTAACAGAAATGATTGACTTGTACTTAGTTTATTTTGAATTGACGTCTTCAGGTGCCACGCTCTCAGACTTTGGCGCTAAATCTTCATAAGGCGTCGGCAGAAAAGGTATATATCTGATTATGTTTCGTTGCTTTCGTAGAATGTTCCGAAGAAGTGGAAATTCATATATTTCTTTGAACTTTTCATCTTGGTGATCTGGAGTGACATATTTGGCGCCATGATCCAAGTGTTCCATTCCCCGTTCCTTGTACGTACCTATAAAAGAATTGAGAATAAAAATGATAAAATGAAATTTATTTTTACTCTCAAGCAGAACGGGAATGTCACTAGTCCGCAGGTGATTAAAGGGAATGAAAATAAAAGAAACTGACTGAGTATAAGGAGGAATTATGAAAGGACAAATTATGAACGGGCTTCAAGAAGATAGAAGATGGCGATTGACGCTACATTAAAGTTTTGGAGACTGTAGTTATCAGGGAAGAAAGAAATTATAAGGGAATTCCACAGGTGGGAAGTGCGAAAAAAGGAACCCTTAGAATAGATGTGCAGTTACATTTATCTATTTCGATAGTAAATTGGTGGGACCTACATGCCAATCTAGTAGCACGCTTAATGAAGCTTAAAACGTGCCTGACACTGTGGTTGCCTCGTTGGCTGACTGCTTTTGTTTAACGGCATATCAATCTTTACAGGTTACTTAATTCCGAAATCTTAATATTTTGAACGCCATTGTTCACCTTCAGCTACAGATAAACTGTATTGTTGGTCATTTTGTTCATATATATATATATATATATATATATATATATATATATATATATATAGTGAACATTGAAGTCAACATTTAGAGGCGATAGGCTGCTTCATGCTAAACGCAATCGTCAGGCCTAACGATTGCATCTAGCATGAAAAAGCATGTCGCCTCTAAGTGTTGACTTCAATGTTCACTTTTATATTTACACACGCACTATCTCTGATATTAAGCACTTTATCCCATAAATACAGCACACCTTAAGAGTATATTTCTTCATATATATATATATATATATATATATATATATTGCTGGTATTTTTTACAATAATATCGTATTTTTATGATTTCATAGTGTTTTATTATGTCTGAGGGTCCACTATTTGCCTATATCTGGGAGACGGGCCAAGAGCAATTAAGAGTTGGTTCCACGGTCCACAAAACAATCCAATTTCCCGATCAGAGACCTTGCTGACGGTACCCTGTGGCGATCAAAGTCTTAAGAATTTATTGAGAATTTGAAGACTGCTTTTGCCATTCATAAACCAGCAGTAACATTGAGCTGCAAGACTCGACCAACAAATTCGTTAAAAGACCCGGTGCATATGGAATGGAACTCAATCTCTCAATCTGCCCTGTGAGTATCATATTTTTCAAGCTCTCCTTCCTCATTACGTGCCCCAGAAATTTCAACTGCCTCTTCCTAATGTTAAGTATAAGCTTCATTTAAACCTAAAACCTCGTCGTTGCCCACATTTTCGGTCCATGGTAACCTCAGCATCCTTCTGTTGAACCACATATTTGTTGTTTCAAGTCTCTTCTTCATCTTTGAGAAGATTGTCCAGCATTCATTGTCATACTTGAGGACAGATATCACGTAACTCTTTTCTTTGTTTCTAACAACCTTTTTCTATCTCCTAATACTCTAGAATTCATCATTGACCAGAACACTTCACAGATGTTTGATTTTAGTCTCCCCGATTTGTAATTTGCATTTTGGCTTCACCCCTTTTGCTGATAACCATGTATTCTGCCTTCTTATAATTTACACTTAGTCCTTTCTTCTCGCTACCTTCTGTAGGAGGTTTTGTAGTTTTCTTTTCCGTGTCTTCTATCAAATCTGTCATCTGCATACCTTATGTTGTTAAGATTGTGGCTGCTAATAATGAATCCTGGTAGGACTTTATAATTCTCTCAGAATTACCTCGTTGTATAAGTTAAATGAATCTACAAATACTAAAATGACAATATTAAGCGGTTAGAGTGACAAATTGTGCGCTATAATTAAGATGTCCTTCAAAGCTAAAACTTTCATTTTGCTGGAAGGACCCTGTAGTTTATTGGGCTAAAGTTGCGTTGATTTTATTGTCGCAATATGGTTGACGATTAGAATTTTGCTAAAATAACTTACAAATTATTATCATTTTATTTTTCACTTGGATAAAGCCTTATGATTTTTTTTACTTTTAATTCTTTCACATATGGTCCTATTTACCTTGAGCTTCTTGATAAAATCCAAAGAAGAATCAGCAATATTATCAGTCCTGATCTGGCGACTCGGCTTCCAGTCACTTTCCCACCGCCTCTGTGTCTTTTCTATAAATACCTTCATGGTAATTGTTCGAGTGAGCTTTTCACTACCTATAGTTTTGT